AAATTTATTTATTTTATAAAAAATCTTAGGGAGTGGGGGGGCACTTTTTATGCATGACACTGGCAATAAAACATGCTATCAGATTTGGCCCTGAAACTGACCTCGCCAGTGATGAATCTTAGTCCTTAGGTGAACGACAAAACAAAGTCAAGATACTCGGGTTCACATAATTTGCTACACAGATTATATATTGGCCCAGGGATTGGCCAACTCTCACAGGGCAGTATATTTGGTCAGATACATGTAGCCCCATACAGGCTGTATTTTCCACTGATTCACTCATAAATATTTTCATTTTTTTTCAGGGATCTGGTAGCCTTATCTTACAACACAGATATCTCATAATATTTACCTAGAGTACCTTGTAAATATTGGTATCCGATTTACTTATGGCTTTTACGTAGGCTTCTGCGCAGTTAAGTCGGCCACGTGAAATTTTAAACCTACTGTGTAATTATTGAGGCCACATTAAAGCATGCATATCAAAGTTCATTGTGTCCAATAACTTATTTTTACAAATTTGTTCACTGTTTATTTGCATTTATTAAAAGAAAGTGTCAGATGGTATTTTTTAATGCAGATTGAGCAGTAAATTGTCCCTCTAACTGGCCTGAGCTGGTTTGTGGAATGCAAGCATGACTTAGGATTTAGTAAAATATATCAGAAATTAATTTGAGGAGAATAAAGCACCAATTTCAGTTCAAATGTAAATAAATCAGCAGCTAGACAAATGACTTACCTGTTTGTTTCACATTCAGCTCCACATGCCTTTCTGTAAGGATATTCCAAAGAAACATGTCCGTCACACTCGTTAGCTCCTGTGTTGTTACTGCATGAGCAGCAGCCGGTTCACGTCTCCATTCAATGCTACAAATCCTAATCCTCTTCTTTTCCAGACATTTAACTGAACTGATGACATCTATGAATGAAGTTAATTAGTACCTAAAACACCTGATTTCATATACTTGACTAAGGCCTTGTTCAACACGATTCTATCGGATATGATTTTATCTCACCGTGTAAAACCTCTATCATTGTTTGAGTATAGGTAGACTGAGGGTGACATTGAATATTAGCTAAGTTCGTACTTCAGGTTCTATGTACTATAACTGTCCTAAAATCAGTCTTACACCAATGGCAGTAAAATATATTTTCCCCTTCATTCATCAAGTTTAACAAAAGAAATACTTTAAAAGTTTACTAAATCTTAAACCCTGATTTACCTCTGTGACTTTTTAATTGACTCGCCCATATGGGCTGTGATACTGTGATCACATGGCATTACAGGTTTGTAGTGACTGCTTCGTTGTTTCTAAAATTAGAATAAGACCAATTAGACTCAATTTAGGAATGAAGTTGTATGTGTCTCTAATTACCAGACATGCAAATAATGTAGTTTACAACCACACGTTTATTTATATTTTACGTCCTATTAATACTTAGCTGTATGTGGTCATATTCTATTAAAACTGTAGCTGTGGTCATATTAAGGGTTTTGTGGTGGGGAAACCGCACTTTACTGTGATATTATGACACTTTTGTAGTTACAAAAAGGTAATGATTCGTAAATAAAATTCTAAACAAACCATCATTGGTTAATTTATAGCTCGTCTGATCCAAAAGTGTTATTGACCTCACTGAAACATTTCTCTTGAGCCACAGGGATTCAAATGTTGTATAAATGAAGGGTGTGCCTAACCACGCCCAGGCTACACCATATAGATCTTCAGATCTATACATAATGTACCTTTTTCTCCCAAACTTTACAAAGTTTCTGATTTTACTACATAAAGATTATTATATTCATCCCTTACCTTGAAGTTGTGGCAGAGAAAGCTCCGACCCAAGGGTTGAAGATTTCTCTGTTGCACTCTTTAGGGTAGTGGATGATAATTTTACTCCCATCCTTCCAATACAATGTTTAAAATCAATAGTATTTTAGCAATTATAATATGTGTCATCCTGATTTGAAGTGGACCTCTCCTATCAAGTGCTGATTATGATGTCATATCTGTTGTTCCAATGACAGTATGGTATTGTTTTTTTTCTGCATTTCACCTTTAATATCCTAAGATCTAAAGGTGACAGAGAAATCATACCCTAGGGGTGACCGGGAAATCATAATCTAAGGGTGACAGAGAAATCATACCCTAAGGGATGGCAGAGAAATTGTACCCTAATTATGTGTGAAAAAGAAATCATACTCTAGGGGTGACAGACAAATCTTACCCTAAGAGGTGACAGAGAAATCATATCCTAGGGGTGACAGAGAAATTGTAACCTAGCTAAGAGGTGACAAAATAATACTCTAGGGAATGACTAATAGAATCTTCCCCTACCTTGAGGGTGTGACAGAGAAATCTCCTACCAGAGGGGTAATGTTTTTTGGTTGTCTGACCCGAGGCTCTGCCGAGGTTTAGACAACTAAAACAAATCACCCCGAGGGTTGGAGATTTCTCTGTTACACACCCTCAAGGTTGAGGATGATTATTCTTTTCCCATCCTTTTATTTCAGTAACAACTCCACCAACAGTATACATAGTCTGCCATGTTTGTAAACAAAAACACATGTGGGGTATGCATATCTCATTCACTTTTGATGATGTCACAATTACTGGTGACACTTTTTAATGACGTCACAATTGAGCATGTGCTAATAGGCACGAGGCTCTCTCCCCCTAGGGGGTGACAAGCTGATCTTTCCCGGTTAAAACTTCACACCTGTGAAGGGTGAGAGAAAAAGAAATCATACTCCAGGCAGGGGTGACAGAGAAATCTTATCAAGTAAAAAAAAGTAAACAGTCCAGTGAAAGATGGGAGAAAATCCTGTTTTATCTTCTTTAGGGAAAGACTTCTCACACACGCTTAATTATTCTGAAAATGTCAACATCATGTCATCACTCTAGGCACATAACCAGGGTATAGTGTCAGACATGTGATGTTCCCTTGGTGATGGTGTGGGATACAGGGTTTACCAATACAACTTGTTGTTTATGGTTTTGAAAATGTGGGAAAAAATCAATTGCTCCAGTGTGATGTGCACTGGACAAAGAAATTCAAATATCACAAATCTTCATGCTTAACTTCAAAAATCTTAACCTGGGGTTGACATTTCTCTGTACAAATCATACAGGAGTGATAGATTGTTTAGTCAGTTGTCATACAGTCAGTCAGTGTTTACATCACACAGGTGTGAGAGATTGTATTATTGTCAGTGTTTACATCACACAGGTGTGAGAGATTATATTATAGTCAGTGTTTACATCACACAGGTGGGAGAGATTGTATTATAGTCAGTGTTTACATCATACAGGTGTGAGAGATTGTATCATAGTCAGTCAGTGTTTACATCACACAGGGGTGAGAGATTGTATTATAGTCAGTCAGTGTTTAGATCACACAGGTGTGAGAGATTGTATCATAGTCAGTCAGTGTTTACATCACACAGGAGTGAGAGTTTGTATTATAGTCGTTCAGTGTTTACATCACACAGGAGTGAGAGTTTGTATTATAGTCGTTCAGTGTTTACATCACACAGGAGTGAGAGATTGTATTATCGTCATTCAGTGTTTACATCACACAGGTGTGAGAGATAGTATTATAGTCAGTGTTTACATCACACAGGAGTGAGAGTTTGTATTATAGTCGTTCAGTGTTTACATCACACAGGAGTGAGAGATGTATTATAGTCAGTCAGTGTTTACATCACTCAGGTGTGAGAGATTGTATAATAGTTATTCAGTGTTTACATCACACAGGTGTGAGAGATAGTATTATAGTCAGTGTTTACATCACACAGGTGTGAGAGATTGTATCATAGTCAGTCAGTGTTTACATCACACAGGTGTGAAAGATTGTATTAATTAGTCAGTCAGTGTCTACATCACACAGGAGTGAGAAATTGTATTATAGTCAGTGTTTGCATCACACAGGTGTGAGAGATTGTATCATAGTCAGTCAGTGTTTACATCACACAGGGGTGAGAGATTGTATTATAGTCAGTGTTTACATCCCACAGGTGTGAGAGATTGTATTATAGTCTGTGTTTGCATCACACAGGAGTGAGATATTGTATTATAGTCAGTGTTTACCTCACACAGGTGTGAGAGATTGTATTATAGTCGGTGTTTACATCACACAGGTGTGAGAGATTGTATAATAGTCATTCAGTGTTTACATCACACAGGAGTGAGAGTTTGTATTATAGTCGTTCAGTGTTTACATCACACAGGAGTGAGAGATGTATTATAGTCAGTCAGTGTTTACATCACACAGGAGTGAGAGATTGTATTATAGTCGTTCAGTGTTTACATCACACAGGAGTGAGAGATTGTATTATAGTCATTCAGTGTTTACATCACACAGGTGTGAGAGATTGTATTATACTCAGTCAGTGTTTACATCACACAGGCGCTAGAGATTGTATTATAGTCAGTCAGTGTTTTCATCACACAGGTGTGAGAGATTGTATTATAGTCAGTCAGTGTTTACATCACACAGGTGTGAGAGATTGTATTATAGTCAGTGTTTGCATCACACAGGAGTGAGATATTGTATTATAGTCAGTGTTTACATCACACAGGTGTGAAAGATTGTATTCATTAGTCAGTCAGTGTCTACAGCACACAGGAGTGAGAAATTGTATTATAGTCAGTGTTTACATCAGACAGGAGTGAGAGATTGTATTATCGTCATTCAGTGTTTACATCACACAGGGGTGAGAGATTGTATTATAGTCAGTCAGTGTTTACATCACACAGGTGTGAAAGATTGTATTAATTAGTCAGTCAGTGTCTACATCACACAGGAGTGAGAAATTGTATTATAGTCAGTGTTTGCATCACACAGGAGTGAGAGATTGTATTATAGTCAGTCAGTGTTTACATCACACAGGTGTGAGAGAATGTATTATAGTCAGTCAGTGAGAGATTGTTTTAGTCAGTTGTCATAGTATAAACAAAGTGGGTCAGGTCACTAAATTATAAACACAACAAATAAAGTTTTGATTTTACTGTTTTTAATCAAAGCATAAAATATACGATACACTCTAAGAGTGTGTAACAGTGCATATTCTTTCCACAGCAGTTAACAAAACATATTGGTTTTCGATCTACATAAACACAGCAGATAACAATACATATAGGTTTTATATCTACATAAACACAATCCAGTCTGCCACTAAACAGACTTTATTAAGCAAAATACTAATAAATGGGTAAGTAATGCACAAAAGAAACTATAAATTTAAAGAATTGAATGTAAAACTTTAAGTTTATGATATCATTCGAATAACATGTCTGTAATAAAACATCATAAATCTTTGACTGACATGTTCCAAAACTGTTGAGGAATTCATTTTCCCAATTTCATCATTTAGAAAAGTTGAAGTTGTGAAAGGGTAATTTTTCCAATGATTATTAATCCACTTAAAGGCAAACAAATTATATAAATTTTGTCCCCTACACCTACAGCATGCATATTTAGTTTGCCTGTAGTATTACTTAGCATTTCCAATGCATTACAAGCCTTATAGTAAGTCAAATCATTTCCCAATTTCAGAAACCTTACTTCCAGCAGTGCAAGGGAGATAATAAAGTATGCATACTCAAATCTTTTAACAAATGGTACTTTTCATAAGTCACAATTAATGGTTTTAGGTATTACATCCTTCTAAAAGTATGTTTTGTACGTTAAAATGTTTCTAACACAGCTACATGTATCTATTTCTTCTAGCATCTATCGGTAACTCCTATGTCACGAAGCACAGTTAATCTGTTTATATAATGGGTCACAACTCTGTGTCTGTATACATGATATCTAAATGAGATTGCACATTGAAGAGTTCCATGATGGGCCTAATCATCTGTGAACCCATGTCATGTGACCTTTGCTATTGTGAAGACATAAAAAAGCAGCAAACAATCTCCTTTTATGAGGAATTTGATAAATATATAAAAATATTGTACATCAGTTGTACAGTCAAAGGGGAGATAACTTACAACAAATATGTTACATAATAATTTTGATTTGGACCATGTTGTGGAATATTTTGTGATCGGAAAGTCAATTGTTGATTCTTATTTTACAAATCCGGCCCATTCCTAAGCATGATTACCTTAATGACAACCTGTAAACATTATATTAAACCTAAGCTCTGTAGAGATTATTACTGTGTACCCTAATGACAACCTGTGTGAATTGTATCGAACCTTTTAGTCTATGTAGAGCTTATATAACAATGCTGCTATTGAAACAAAAGTTAGTTGTTCCAGACTTTTCATTATTGCACCATTAGTAACTATATCATGATGCAAGAATAAAGTGTTGCAGTAAATATTCCAGATAAATCAACCATATTTAACTAATGTCCAGCCATCTGGATTAATACAAACAAACATCTAGATTGCATTAATTTAAAAAAAAAATGCTAACAACCTATCATCTAGATAGAAGTAATTTTAAAAACCGCTAAACAACCAGTAATCTAGAAATCATTCACCTTTTAATTTTGTTAAAAATGAATAACAACCAATAATAAGCTAAACTAAACAAAGAATTCTGAATACATCACTGATGTCATCTGTCGTAGTTAATCTACTACATTTACAACAAAACATTTTCTATTTAAAAGTCACATATCAGTATTCACATTTTCACTTAATTCAGTAAGTGTGACCAAATCATATTGTATCTCTTCTTAAATAAAGGTATAAAGTATCACAAACAAAGTTATCACAAACAAAGTTATAGTGTAGGAACTGTACACCCCATTTTTAGTTTCAAAAATTAAAAATATAAATAAATTCAGATAAACCAACCAATCTGAGCCAATGTCTAAACTCACAGAAAATTCAAAGTCTCCGTTTTTATGTTGACATGTAAGGCAGTCAGTTGATAATTGTCTGAGCTTAATTTAGTCAACATCACAAATATTCCATCAATTAAAACATTCTATCAACCTGTTCATTAATTAAGAAAAATAAATTGTCATCATTTTGTGATGCACTATCATTTATAAATAGCTGGTCAGTATTGTGTTTGATGAACTATTGATGATGTGCCAGTTGATACCGCAGGTACAAGTTAGCTCATGTCTAACACAGCACTTTGTATATAGCAGACAAGTATTAAATGACTTGCACGGCACTTTTTATACAAAAAAATAACATTGTTATTAACTTTTGTCATCAACTAATTTGGAAAAATCTGAAAAAACTATATCCTAGAGCATCCTGACAAAGTCAATGTTATGATTGTGACGCTAACATAAATGATAAAGTAACATGGGTAGTGAGGAACTTACTTAACATTTCAAAATTAAAGATAATTTTGGAGGAAAGTGGGATAATGAATGTTTAATATGCTATATGGTACATTAGTTGGTGATCTTATAGTATAGGTTATATAATCCATTTGGCACATTAGGTGGTGATCTTATAGGTTAAAGAATCTATATTTCACTTTAATTCATTATCTTATAGGTTAAATAATATATATGTCACTTTAATTGGTGATCTTATAGGTTGAATAATCTATATGGCACTTTAATTGGTGATCTTATATGTTAAATAATCTATATGGCACATTAATTGGTGATCTTATAGAATGAATAATCTATATGGCACATGAATTGATCTTATAGGCACAGATATATATCAAACTATGGCACAGAGATAGATTTGCAGATTATATAACTTTTTAAGCTAACAATTTCCAAGCCAACCACACTTCTATCATATATTTCGGTAACATGATTTGTGGCAAGCACACCTTATATGCGATAGTGTTAAATGTTAATTAATCAACTCTTTTACAATTAGTGATCAACACCGATACTATTATAAACAGGCTGACCCATCCACATTGAAGATTGACTGGTGAGGAAAGGTCTAATAGGATACTTATACGTTGTAGAATCTTTGGCCGGCCTGAAGGATTTTATCACTATTTTTTGGGAAATTTATTGTTTATGTCTTTTGTAATTCAAACCTTCAGTCACATTTTCTGGTCCCTGTTCTGGTCCCTGTTCTGGTACCTGTACATGTTCTGGTCCCTGTTCTGGTACCTGTACATGTTCTGGTCCGGGTACCCTGTTCTGGTACCTGTACATGTTCTGGTCCCTGTTCTGGTACCTGTTCTGGTACCTGTACATGTTCTGGTCCCTGTACATGTTCTGAACCCTGTTCTGGTCCCTGTACTGGTACCAGAGAGATGTATAGATGCAAGCACATTTTTGACAATTTTACATACATACATTGTTTCACTGCATAGATTGTAAAATGCATTGTAATAATATTGGATATTTTGTGTAATATTGCTGATAAAAATTTGAATACTATACATACGATTATTTAACCAATCATACCAATTTGCATATATATGTGAACATAAGCTCACAACAGGGTTATATATGATTGTGTGTGTGCCATGTTAAAACATCATGTACTGTTGATGTCATTATGCACAATGTAATGCCCCCAACATATCTTTAGTATGCTATGAGGTTAACACAACCACAGGTATAAAGGAAAATCTCACTTTTGTATCCAATGAGAAACCCCAGATCATTATTTAAAGGAATATAAAATAAAGTGAGTTATATAATTAAAGAACATCTAGTAAAATAGGATGTAAGTGTTAAAAACTAAAAGATAGTATGCTTGCTAAATATAAATCAGGATTGAGGAATAGATTCTTGCAATATATCTTCAAGAAATCATGGTTTTAAAAATCTATTCACTGCAGAAAAACAATATTATAATATGCACGGTACAACCTTTGCCCATATCATAATAAACAATTATATTTTTTTGCTTAGTTAAAAAAGTAAAAAATTGGTACATGGGAAATATGTTATATCTACCTATATAAAAATTGGGTCCCACTGTTTTGAAAATAAAATATATTGCTCTGTTTGCGTCTATTTTCCCTGGTCCATACTTGGTCTCCATTATAAACTGGTTGTCCATACAAGCCGTCTATGAGGACTGGGTCTGTTTTCTCTCGGCCATACTGGTTGTCCGTACTAGCTGTCTATGAGGACTGGGTCTGTTTTCTCTCAGCCATACTGGTTGTCCGTACTAGCTGTCTATGATGACTGGGTCTGTTTTCTCTCGGCCATACTGGTTGTCTATGAGGACTAGGTCTGTTTTCTCTCGGCCATACTGGTTGTCCATACTAGCTGTCTATGAGGACTGGGTCTGTTTTCTCTCCGCCATACTAGCTGTCTATGAGGACTGGGTCTGTTTTCTCTGGTCCATACTAGCTGTCTATGAGGAGTGACTACATGTTAATTGTCAGGTACACATAGGTATCCTGGTATATAGTTCCCACGTTCATCAGAACCAACTCTCCACTGACTCTATCCCTCGTGTGGCATGAAAGGTTGTAGCTGCAGCCGTCCTCGAAGTTCGGGACATGAAGCTCCAACTGAAAAGTTAAAACCAAACACGGTAACAAAAATAAATCCATCTTCCCCTCAGAGGATTACATCCTTATGCACTTAAATCTGTGACTTGGGAAATACGAAAGCTTCATATACTGTTAATTATACTCTAGGTATAATCTGTGACTTTGGAAATACGACAGCTTTATAACTGTTAATTATACTCTAGGTATAATCTGTGACTTTGGAAATACGACAGCTTTATAACTGTTAATTATACTCTAGGTATAATCTGTGACTTTGGAAATACGACAGCTTTATAACTGTTAATTATACTCTAGGTATAATCTGTGACTTTGGAAATACGACAGCTTTATAACTGTTAATTATACTCTAGGTATAATCTGTGACTTTGGAAATACTAAAGCTTTATAGCTGTTAATTATATGTTTATTATGTATGGCTGAAACCTCCAGGACTCAAAATTGTACACTTTGAGGTGCATTAAGTTGTGTTCCTTGAGGAACCTCTTTTTCATCAAAATAAACAGCATATATGTGTTCAGAATATCCCCATACAGAAATAAGCTGATACTGTATAATGTTTCCACTGTCACCCCTTCAAATATATTTGCCCTTTACTGGTAAAATCTGCATTCGCCCAGTCTTACTTTGCATGCCCTTCACATGTATGGACTATATATATATATAAGGTATATGTTTTATATTCGCTGTCATGATAAATTCACCCTCATATATTGACAAGGGTGAAAAAGCAGAAGTCAAACTGCGGCAATAGTTTACCAGTACACAGTTAAATTAAGTCTAGTGGAAACGTTAGGATAGGATTGTTGTATATGGTATTTTCATTTCTACTTCATACTTTCTGTAATGACATGCAAACATGAATTATTTGTGGTATGCAAAATTAGTTTGACTGCTCATTTAGAAATGACCTTAACAGTTTTCCACAAAGTATGTGAAACCAACAGTAGCTGTAACATTGATTGACAGAGATTTTCCGGAGCCTTTATTTTCATACCTGATTCCGGAATTTGGCATTATCAGGAAGGTTTTGCAAATGTAATCCCTGTCTCCTCTCAAAATGATCCAGATAAATGGTAGTATTTTTATAAAACACTACAACTTTTGCATAGGGGTTTTCTGTAATAACATATAAAAACAAAGCACAATTAGTCATGCATGAACATTCACCAACAGCAAATAGAAAGATCACAGGAACGGCTGTTCTGTTATTTCAGTACATGCATGCGACAGCATCAGTGGCAATACTAAATGTTACATTACATGTGATAGCACCAGCAATCAATCCATAGCTGTTGAATTACATGTGACTTTCTATAGCTGTAACAGGTAGCACATGCATGGTAGTGACAATATTCATGCTGTAACGAACATGTTTGTCAAAATATATACTGAGCAAAAACAGAAAGGTTAACACTTTCCCCTGCATACCACCTCTACATCGGTGAAAATAAAAATAAATCTGTAGCAGAAAGATTCTGGAGTGAAGATCCTACCAACTAACAGTCGACTCATTAAAATCATACAATGCTGAAAGTCTGTTGTGGCCCTAGAGCTCCTCAATTGTTTTTCCATGGTGATTGGCTTTTAAAAATCCAGTAACTAACTATCTTTAATTGCATGGGTCCGAACACATCGTTGTTTGATGTTAAATCAACGGAACAATGCTTTTTAGCTCACTTCTTTATTCTTTACTAAATGCCATGGCGCGGCATCCCTCGTCTGTCCATCATCCATCCAGCGTCCGGTGTCAACTCTTTACTATAAATGATTTTTTTTAATAACCAAAAGGTATTTCAGTGAGATGGCTCTATAAAGTCTGCATCAAATCTGCACTATCACAAGGAAGCAAGCACACCAACATACCCTGTCTCCTGCATACACACACGCATTAGCACGCATACACCACACACATGGAGGCACATCCTTAAATGACCATAGCTATTAATAGGACATTAAACAAAATTAAACCAAACCAAACCAATCTCAGCTAAAAGAGTATTTACCTTTCTTATTTTGCTGAATATATATATATATTTCCTAAACTGTATATTTAGAACAGTAATGATTGTCACAACTTAGAACCTTTACTGTCTGTATATATCTGAAACAGTTAATTATTATCATACCTGGAAACCTTCAGTCTGTATTTGGGAACCTTAAGTCTGTATCTATCTAGAAAAGTATTTTATCATACGTACCTGGTAACTGTCTGTCTTTATATCATCAACAGTTCATTTTATTGTCATACCTGGGAACCTTTGTCTGTATATATCTAGAACACTCCATTATTGTCATATCTAGAACTGTCTATTATTGTCATACCTTGGAACCTTCTGTCTGTATATATCTAGAACAGTCCATTATTGTCATACCTGGAAACCCTCTGTCTGTACATATCTAGAACAGTCCATTATTGTCATACCTGGGAACCTTCTGTCTGTATATATCTAGAACAGTCCATTATTGTCATACCTGGAAACCTTCTGTCTGTATATATCTAGA